TAATTTATTTTGAATCAGGGTTCGTAATTGAGGGTTTCTATTGTACTTTAAATTTACCACTAATGATGTAACTGAATGCTATAAGAATGTTTGAATCGTTTATCTCTTATTTTTTATAACATTAGTTAGAATAGATACTGTGCATCATTATGGCACCTGTGAATTATGTTCCGGCCAACGATTGTTTGACAACGGTCTTAAATTGCGGGAGAACGGTGTGATGATGTGCGGTTCTTCTGCTATAGTCCTTTCATTTCGGTTCCTTTCCTAAGTTGGTTAGCATAGAATCTTTTGTTGGAATTTCTTTTTTTTCCTTATTTTATTTTAGCGCATTGAGAGTTCAGTGCAATGCACTATAGTAAATAACACTAAACATTACATTACATAATATTCAGATAAAAGCTAGAATAACTGCCAGGACTCGTACTAAGTTACACTTTTTTTAATTTAATTTTTAGTTTTTAGCTCAACATAGGTAGTATACTTTATAATCTTGGAATACCAGAAGCTTGTAACTGTAAGCTTAAAAAAATAATTATCACCATTTTGGGAAAATAGGGATTGGGAAAATATGAACCCTGGGAAAAAGATAAATAAATAGATTAATAAATGGTATGACTGTTTTTTCTTTGTACGAAAACATAAGCATGGTAGCAGTATATTTTCTGAGAAAGAAGTTTGGAGTTAAATCATTTTTTCTGACAGATTGTTATCGATATGAGAGTCTTAATTAAAAGAAAAGTATAGTACAGAGTAAAATGTATCTTAATATGAGTAATAATAACGATCTTTATTATTATTGCCTTGATTCTCAACCAATTAGTTTCCTGTATTACTCTCAATTACCATTTTCCTGTTACATTTTCTCTTGTATTGGTTATTATTATGAATTACTATTCATTGGTTTCATGATTCAGTTTTTTTATCATCATTATCGTTGTCATCAACACCATCAAATATTGAAATCTTATAGTTTTTGTCGTTTTCAATCAATCATTCCATTTATATCTTTTCAGCAATATGGTCATTTCCTTTTCCTCTAGTTTTTGTAATTAATCTTCTTCCTTATTGCTTTTTTTTTAGATTTATAAGTACCTAAAGTAGTAAAAGGGCATCCTTGAGAAATGCAAACATACTGAAATGTAGGCCTGCATAGTCCTTTGTAAAACTCAATATCTGGTGAGGGATGGGGAAAACAGAGTGTTTGTGTGTGTGGTAGACGTCTTTTTGAAAGGGGAAAAAAAGACTTCATCCATTTTTGAATGCAGTACAAACCACATTCAGAAATTATTTTACAAAGCAAGTTCCTGATTATCTTTGCTAGCTTTATATTTTTTCAAGAAAGCAATTTCCTGTATCTAAGTAGTAATTTCCATCCTAAAGCTTCATTATTCATTCTGGACTAATTTCTAGATCCACATTGCTTTTTCTGCAAACAAATCAAGATGATGTTATTTCAGTAGGAGTCTGACAATCAAAGATTGAATGACAAATCATTTAGTCCTCATGATATTGCATGCTTACAGTATACGCCCTTTTTACTGTCAAGAATAAAACAGTTAAAGAAGGGTTAAATACATGGCAGTAACCTTATTTTAAAGAAAAACTGTGCCCTTAAATCAAGATGATGTTATTTCAGTAGGAGTCTGACAATCAAAGATTGAATGACAAATCATTTAGTCCTCATGATATTGCATGCTTACAGTATACGCCCTATTTACTGTCAAGAATAAAACAGTTAAAGAAGGGTTAAATACATGACAGTAACCTTATTTTAATGAAAAACTGTGCCCTTAAATCAAGATGATGTTATTTCAGTAGGAGTCTGACAATCAAAGATTGAATGACAAATCATTTAGTCCTCATGATATTGCATGCTTACAGTATACGCCCTTTTTACTGTCAAGAATAAAACAGTTAAAGAAGGGTTAAATACATGACAGTAACCTTATTTTAAAGAAAAACTGTGCCCTTGCTAGTAAAGCTAATGCCCTGTCCAGACTATCAAATTTTATATGATAGAATCATTTGATATGCCTAAATATGGTCATGATGATGTCTCATCACGACCATATATAGGCACATCATGACTAGATATGGGCATGCAATAGTTTTTTGTCAAATAAAATTTGATAGACTGGAGAGGACTTTAGAGAAGTTGTCATACAATACAAATTTAATAAAATTACCTTTGGTTTTAGTAACTTCAATAGTTTCAAGGTATGAAAAAAATAAATAAAAATGTTGGAAATATTTCTCAAGACAGTGGCAAGGAACTAGCTGCCATTGCCTGTGGTCGATATTTAACTGTTTCAACCATTGCAGTAGAATACATTGAAATTTAAACAAAAAAAAATTCCATGTCAAAAACATTAAGCCAAGAAATAACGATCAGTGCCAGTGGTTAATATTTGTTATTAAGTCGACATTTATCCATTTCAGAGTACTGAACAATTTTACAACAATACAAAACTGACATTAGCAAACCACAAGCCCTGTGGCATCATATTTCTAAATCTTCTCATATTCAGATTCACTAATAATTGAATGCCATTGAGATGATATATTGTGTTACAAGAAAATGTTTAAAAAATCATCATTCAAATTTTCAATCACCTATCTTATAGGGATTTAATCATTTCTTTTTCCAGTGATCATATGTAATTTTTTCTGTGCGGTGATAAAAACTATCAGAGTATGTACCTTTATCACAACAATGATTTTTTATTTTTTATTTGAAGGAATCATGAAAGTTGCGTATCAAATGGAAAACTATCAAAATTAATTTTGTATGATCTGATTCTGGTTGAATGAAAGTTAATAACCAACAGTATTTGATCATTTTTTAATTTGTGAGGTTTTTTTTCTTCTGATTTTTATGGTGGTGTATCTTTAAAGACGTGTGGAAATATCCAATATTATGCTTATTATTTTTGTTCTATTTGATGAGGCAAGAAGTCGTTTGATGATACTAAATATTGATAAGCAAATCTTTAAACTCACAGCTTAGTTGCCCTTGGAAAATAAGTGATAAATGTAGGGCGAATTTATTGATTTTGATCTGTAAACCAGATTGAATTTTTGTGGTTTATTCAGACAAGGTGTTAAGTAATTTCATAAGCATTGGCATTATGAAAATTGTAGGTGAGAATTTGGAATGTATAATGTGATTTTGTATCAGGATATTTTCACTGTCTTTCTGTTCTACATCTTAATGTTGACTTTTTTTTAAACAAGTTTTAGACTTGATCCACTTAATTTGACTACTGTAATTAAGTTTTCAATTAATTTTACTTATTATAAAATGGTTTAGTGTAGTAGTAGACTAATGCTAATCTGCTAATACCTTAACAAGATGAAATATACTCTTTCTTTTTTACAAGAACACATTTTATAAGAACACTGAAATTGCTTAAAAATTGAGAAAAAATCTTGTTTTTATTTTTACATGGGAATTTTCTATCCTATGTAAATGTCACTGAGGAAAAACAATCTCAATGCATCATATTTAATATTGACGACAATAACTGTGCAGTAATTATTTTGCTCTGAGGCATTGGCTATACTTGAATTTCTTTACAAATTAGTATCTGCGATATTTCTTTAGAAATTTTGTGCATATGTGTACCAACTACCTAAAAGTACAAGATTATTATGTTAATCATGATGTTTAATAAAAGTACAATATATTAACCTTTAATAATAGATGAATTATATTGTGTATTTTTGGGTGTGACTAAGAGCTCCTCCCAATATACATCTTAGTCATCATAATTCTTTGTAAACTTGTTCGGTAAAAGCCTGAAATAGAAGATCAAAGCTTTTGATTTTGTAGAACGAAAAATTAGTGTTGGTCCAGTGTATAAAATCTGTGTCATTGTGGGTAGATAAGTACCAGTTGAGGTCCTAGGTCAAGGCAGTGAGCAGACACTGCCATCATCAAGTAGAGTGATTCAGTTTATTACACACTTTTCATGCTTGAGTTCACAATGTTTCACATCACTGCACAAACGTGGATTCATTAAACTGTGTAATATGTTAAATGAACATAACACAATTTGCAGCCTAGTCCATTGTATCTAGATCGAAAGAAATAGAAAGGACTTTGTTAACATGACTTGCTATCCTTTTTCAGGAGCTTTCATTGTTTGGTCAACTGTATTTTCATAGTTTTTTTCCTGTAAGTCAAAGACGGGCGGTAAGCTAGTGAAGGGTGCCCCCATCCCAGAAATGTTGAAAATCTTCTTCCATGGTACTGGTCTCCCTCCAATTAAGACCCCTCAAATTAAGCGCCACTTTTCTATGGTCCCCTATTATTATTTTTAATAAATGTCTATTTATTATTCAAATTAGACACCAAAGCTCCTAAAGAATATGGAGATAGTGGTGGTCTTTATTTAGAGGAGATATAGGCCTACTGCATCTTTTAATTTTATTAAACATTCAGATGTTGGTCTTAGCACCTACAGTATTGTGAGGTTTATGCACTTTACATCGTTACTCTGATCAATTAATCTCAACACTTAAGAAACACCTTCTTACCTCCTTGGGGAAGTCTTATATTATTGTCATTGCATTGGGATTCAACACTAAGTGCCTACCTAAAATGTACTGTATATTCCTCTTTGGAACAAATTGGATTAAAAAAAAATACCATTAATGGATCTGCATCAGACAGAACCTTCGAACTTTATTTTCCAAACCTTGTCCTATCATATCATTTATGATATAGAATGAGAAACAAAAGAAAATAATATTCATGAATTAATGAATACTAAAATTTGAAAACTGACCTCTGCCATTTACTAATCCATTAGGATTTAGACATGACGGTACAGCGCCCTCACTCACCTTTGCTATTATGCGCTATCATTAGCTAATGATTTGGTGTCAGATCGAATGCTGCGAGGGTATATTAGTAGTAATGTTGGTTGAGTGAATCATACAATAGTACAGCTTTATAGCATCATATCTGACGGTTCTTTACTATTGGTTTGCAGGTTCATCACAGTCATCACTAATATCATCATGCACTTCAGAGTCAGATGTTGAAGAAAAGGCTTTTGGTGAGTATATATTTTTCTATTTAATTACTATATTTTTAGTTTGGAAATTATTGTAGAATTATTGCTGAGTAAAGCACTCATATTTTTGTCTTGAGTTGAGTTTTGTGGGCTAAATTATATTAGTAAAGAGCTACATTACCTTGAGGTTGATTTGATTACAAGATACAGGAGGTTCGTACAAGTCAAATTTGTATTTATAAAATTAGATTATAAATGAATTCGAAATTTGATCCCAGTTGCTTTACATCAATTTATTGCATTTATTGAAAACAGTATTAAACAAACAAAATTAAAACATCAATGCTGTTAAGGATTTTGAAATAAAAAACAATGATTACTAAAGCCTACTACTACCCTTAAAACATAATTTATAGGATAAGCAATAAATTTGACTGCAGTATATTTTTGTGCAATTTTTCTCTGCTATAAATAATAGGTAAAAGAATAACTTCCTTCAGCATTCATGCATTTTAAAAAGTAATCCTGAGCTGTCCATCTACATTGTGCTATGAGGGAGCATGTTATCTAGATGTGCAGTACTGACTGTTTTATTGTCTAATTTTGGACTTTAATTTAAGCCATGAATCTTCTGGAATTCTTTGGATGTCCTGCGTTCAATCAAATTTGGTTTATACCAATCCATAGTTTAGTTTTCAAAACATATCATAGGGCCAACTAACTGTAGTTTACTGTGTCGGTTTCCCTTGACGACTAAGATAACCTATCCTGTCATTAGCCCAGATTGCAATTGATCATTTCCTCAGGTGTATTTCTCAAGAGATTACAACCCCTTTGTAAGCCTTAAATTATGCCGTCATGAGGAAATATTCCGTAATAATATCTTGTGAATTTCCCATGGCTACAACAGGAGTCATCCATTGGAATAATTATGTATTATAGAAGCTAATGTATAGTTTCATTTTTTGGACATTGAACTTGGGAATTTCCAGTCCTACATCACATCAGTCATCTATAATTTTGTTCTTTTGTTTCAAGTGTTTACTGTCTCTTACAACAATAATCTGTTGGTTTTCTGTGATCCAATATTATGTTTGCTCTTAAAGAGACTTGGATAGCTCCAGTGGATCGATGTGTCCTTAGGTTTAGTTTAATTAATGATAATTTTGGTACTTTTTGATTATGATGTAGAGTCCCGATTGGGCATCATACCCAAGACTTTAGAATTACTGTTTAGATTTCTACTATCTTAGCTGCCAAGGCCAAGTACTGTAGTACATACACACTATTGAATTTTCCCATAAGGACATGTTTTTTTTTTCACATGGTATTGCACAATTAATAATGATAAATCACATACTGTATTTGCTGTGAGATTGCCTGATAATAACCCCTCTTTCCTCCCTCCACAAACAAATTTGATATTCAGTATTTTTAAAAAGTGGATAAAGTAGGTCTAGGTTGTACAAAAAATGCATTTTCATGCTACAGGTAAGAATTATAAAAATTGAACATGGAAATCTTACATTAAGGTAGGCACTCTTTATGATAACCACAATTGATCTCTCTTTAATGGTAAGATTTTCTGGTGGATTGTGTTCATTAGAATTATTGAATAATGCATCAAAGCTAAATGGAAAATTCTCTCATGAGATATAGATTTAAAGTATGCTAATTACCTATTGAATATTCATGAGTAAGCCTTCAAGCAATGTGATAGCCATTCTGCTCTAATGGAGTGTGTTCTTACAGCTATGAGGTTCTACTTATTAAGTGTATTGTAAAAAAGAATTGAAACGATGATGATTAACTGTAAATTGGCTATAAAATATACAGTGTCTCGAAGTTTTATATTTGGAAAGTTTACATTTTTATTATCAAATTTTTATACTCATTACCATATTTTAGTATAAATAAGACCCATACCTACTGTACCAAGTCTCACGCATCCGGCGTGAGCATCACGCTTTTCGACCAAACCTCAAGCTCTCAAGCCACTCACCTAAAATCTCACGCTTTTCCACTAATCTCAAGCTTTATTTATTTTATTATTAACTCAAACTTTTTATCAAAACACTTGAAACCTTCGCAATTCTATAGTTTATCAGGCCTAAAATCATCGAAAATTCTATCGTTCCTATTCCAGCTACACATTCTTAAGTTTTAAGTTGAGCACTAGAGATTCTATCCAGGGTGCACCAGAAAACATCTAAGCCCAACATTTTTCGGGGCCCTCGACCCACGCCAATTGGATTTATTTCCTGTTAAATCTCAAGCCACTAGCTACCTCCAACTTGGCATGTATGAAGACCAGATGATGGCTACAAAATCAACTGAAGGGATCTGGTAATTCTAGCTACATTATACCCATTTCACACTGATGCTATTTTGCAAATATTATCAACTTGTAACAAGTTGTAACCAGATTTGGATGAGTATGAAAGCAAATCCTTGTAAACTTTCCGAGATTTCACAGGGGTCCCCTGAGTTATCTCTGAACAAAAACAGACCATCGCGAGGCCTGTTTTTTTCCCGAAAATCTTCCGAGTTGTTGTTGCGCATGCGTCATGTCCATATTTTGATCTTTTCGCGGGCTGGTTTTTTTTTTTATTTTTTTAGTTCGAACGGATGGCAGCAGCGATGGAAAACGTATTATAATAATAATAATAATAATAATAATAATAATGACTTTATTTGAAAACGGAAAACTTGATCACAAATTAAATGTGTTTTTCACAAGGCCGTTTCTGAAGTACATAATAACAAAATTTAAATTACAAAAACATTTACATACGAAATTTTTTTCGTAAATACATTTACGAAATAAAGAAGTAAAAGAAACCAAAATAAAACTATTACTTATTATCTTATGTAAGTAACTTTCAATTATTTGTTAATAGTTTTTTAAAAGTTTGAACATTTGAGGCCATTCTCATATTGAGGTTTAGGTATCAACATTACTACCATTTGTTAATAGGCCTAGACCAAAAATCAAAAGAAATCTCGCTAAATTTCACATGTCTGATGTAGAAACAATCACGAGGCTTCATAAAATACGCCGACAGCGAATCATTATGATGCTTGTCGCACTGATTGCATCTAACAACAATGGTGAGCTACTGGCCGATGGCCCGACTGCGCCTAGCTAGCCTAGGCCTATCTTTCTCACCAGCTAGACTACAGCAAGCGAGCTAGGAGTTGAATTCGTTTTACTCTCTGAAGGCTAAGGACCATGGAATAATTATAATCTTGTTAATTCGGTACCAGGCCTAGTTTAGTACAGTAGTTGATATGTAATTCGGACAACCTACAACTAGCCTAGGCCTACTACTACTACTACTAGTACTACGTACCCTAGGCCTAGTCATTATTCTTCCGAGTTTTCCCGAGATTTCTTATGGTTTGAAAGTGCATGTGTGAAACGAACCAAAAATATCAAACTTGATATAACTTGTTAATAATTGTTAAAAGTTGTAATATTTTCTGCTAGTGTGAAATGGGTATTAGTTAGCTAATTTGGCTACTGTAATGGTTTTATTTATTTATTTTTATTTAATATTGTTAGGCCTAGGCATTTTATTTTCTGTAACCAGTCTAGCACAAAGTCGACATTTTAAAAGACATATTGAGGAAGTCTAATGTCTTCCCCGCCTTGGCTGCTTTACGGATTTTAATTACAAGACTTGTATTAAATGATTATGTTTCCGTAGGAACCCAATGTATGCCAGTCTTGACTGTAAATTTATTACAAAATCTTAGTATGTAATGTAATTATATAGTTGTATATAAAAAAGAAATAAACCTTAGTCATTAGTCCTAATAAACGATTATGGTACAAAACAAGATATGATTGTGATGAAGTATATTAGTAAAATTTGTTGTTGAAATAATATTAGCAAGTACTATTCATTCAGTTATACAGTAAAATACAGTTATATGTTGATTGTTGGAATTGAACAGTATACTGAGGAAGGGACTACTACACACAGCAGGTGTATATGTTTTATTACTCATACCTGTTGGTCTAAATAAAAGTTTTATTCTTTTGAAATGAATCAATTGACCTTTTCTGTCATCCTTGATTGTCTTGGTAATGTTTGGCTGAGCATTCAAACACATCATGTCAAAGGTTCTTTAAAATGTCCTTGAGTAGGTAAATCAACAAATGCTTCCCTCTATAGGTTATTGTTGGCATCTTCTAAAATAGTGATGCTGCCCTCATTAGTTTCATTTTTCATTTTTTCCATCAAGGAGTGGCCCAAACTGAATACTGTATTTGTCAGATGATTCACAGTTTTGATTAAAATTTGCAAAATTTCAGATTAATAATATTTGATTGAAAGAAAACTCTTCATTTTCAGCGGATATTAATTAGTGAGTGGATTCGAAGAGAATATTATGTCTTCTGGGCTTTTAGTCCATGATTAAACAAAATGAATTAGCTGTACCCTGACAAAGATATTTTCATATTCTTTGATTGAATATGTTTCATTCTTAAAAGAAAGATTTGAATGTCTTTGCTAATGGCAAGACTATTCAGTTGTGGTTTTGTTTTTTCTCACCATCTTCATCATCTTCCATGTGTGCATAAAATTACAGTTACTGTGGCATTGAATCATCTTTCAAACATTATTTGCATGAAAAATTTATGTTATTGTAGGTTGATATTAATGAAAGATAATTCGCAAAATGGTCATCTTTGATTTGAAAATTTAAATCCATATTATAAGTAACAGATAGTCCAAACATTTATTAGTAACTGTCACACGTTTAGTTGATCATTTAAAGGTATTCTAAATTATAAGAATGTTATCAATAAAATTATCAAAGAAAATATCCTGCTGCCCATAAGAGACAATTTATAGAAACTGTTAAAATCTATCCCACAATTCAATCTTTTTTTTTACAAAAAACCTGTCACTGATTCAAGAATTTTGATGTGTATTTAATCAAAATATGAAATGCAGCATTATTATTTTAGCAATGATACTCTTGTTAACAATGTACTAAGACAGGCTTGTTGAATGATATGATATAAATTA